GAATCATCAGGGCATACTTTGAAAATCTGTACTCCACAAAATTTGAAAATATAAAGGAAATGGACAATTTCCTGGATAGATATCACTTGCCAAAACTAAATCAATAGCAGATGAACAATCTAAACAGACCTATAACCCCTAATGAAATAGAAGTAGTCATCAAAAGTCTCCCAAACAATAAAAGCCCAGGCCCAGATGGCTTCATTGCAGAATTCTACCAGAAATTCAAAGAAGAGCTAATTCCAATACTCCTCAAAGTATTCCACAGAATAGAAACAGGAGGCTCACTGCCAAACTCTTTTTATGAGGCTACAATTACCTTGATACCCAAGCCACACAAAGACACAACTAAGAAAGAGAACTATAGACAAATTTCCCTCATGAACATCGATGCAAAAATACTCAATAATATACTCGCAAACCGGATTCAAGAATACAACAGAAAAATCATCTACCATGGTCAAGTAGGTTTCATCCCACGAATGCAGGGATGGTTCAACATTAGAAAATCTATCAATGTAATCCACCATATAAACAAACTGCGAAAGAATAACCACATGATCATCTCACTAGATGCTGAAAAAGCCTTTGACAAAATCCAGCACCCCTTCATGATAAAGGTCCTAGAGAGATCAGGGATAACAGGAACATACCTGAATATAATAAAAGCAATATAGAGTAAACCAACAGCTAACATCAAACTAAATGGAGAGAATCTCAAAGCAATTCCTCTAAAATCAGGAACAAGACAAGGCTGTCCACTCTCTCCATATCTCTTCAATATTGTACTTGAAGTTCTAGCTACAGCAATAAGACAACAAAAGGAGATAAAGGGGATACAAATAGGAAAAGAAGAAGTCAAACTTTCACTATATGCAGATGATATGATTGTTTACATAAGTGACCCAGAAAACTCCGCAAGGGAACTCATAGAGCTGATAAACACCTTCAGCAATGTGGCAGGATACAAGGTAAACTCAAAAAAATCAGTGGCCCTATTATATACAGATGATGAAGTGACTGAGAAAGAAATCAGAGAAACATCACCCTTTACAATAGCCAAAAACAGCATCAAATATCTGGGGATAATGTTAACCAAGGAAGTGAAAGACCTGTATATCAAGAACTTTGTGTCTTTAGGCCGGGCAGTGGTGGCGCACGCCTTTAATCCCAGCACTCGGGAGGCAGAGGCAGGTGGATCTCTGTGAGTTTGAGGCCGGGCTGGCCTGGTAGCCTCCGAAACAATACAGAGAACCCCTGTCTCGTAAAAACCAAAAAAAAAAAAGAACTTTGTGTCTTTAAAGAAAGAAATCAAACAGGATACCAGAAAATGGGAAGATCTCCCATGCTCTTGGATTGGTAGGATCAACATAATCAAAATGGCAATCTTGCCAAAAGCAGTCTATAGATTCAATGCAATCCCTATCAAAATTCCATCACAATTCTTCAAGGACCTGGAAAGAACATTAATCAACTTTATATGGAAAAACAAAAGGCCCAGGATAGCCAAAACAACCCTATACAATAAAGGAACTTCAGGAGGCATCGCCATACCTGACTTCAAGCTCTATTATAGAGCTATAGTCCTGAAAACAGCTTGGTATTGGCACAAAAATAGGCAGGTAGACCAATGGAACCGAATCGAAAGCCCTAATTTTAACCCACACACCTATGAACACTTGATTTTTGACAAAGAAGCTAAAACTGTACAGTGGAAAAAAGAAAGCATCTTCAACAAATGGTGCTGGCATAACTGGGTACTGGTATGCAGAAGACTGCAGATAGATCCATGTTTATCGTCTTGTACAAAACTTAAGTCCAAATGGATCAAAGATCTCAACATACATTCAGCCACACTGAAACTTTTAGAAGAGAAAGTGGGAGATACTCTTGAACGAATTGGTACAGGAGACCACTTCCTAACCATAACACCCGTGGCACAAACACTGAGATCGAAAATTAACAATTGTGACCTCCTGAAACTAAACAGCTTCTGTAAGGCAAAGGACACAGTCAGCAAGACAAAAGGCAGTCCACAGAATGGGAAAAGATATTCACTAACCCCACATCTGACACAGGCCTAATCTCCAAAATTTACAAAGATCTCAAGAAGCAAGTCTCCAAAACACCAAATGATACAATTAAAAGGTGGGGTACAGAACTCCATAGAGAATTCTCAATAGAGGAGGCTGAAATGCCCCAGAGACACTTAAGAAAGTGTTCAACACCTTAGCCATCAGGGAAATGCAAATCAAAACAAATTTGAGATTCCATCTTACTCCTGTCAAAATGTCTAAAATCAAAAACTTCGAAGACAATTTATGCTGGACAGGATGTGGAAAGAGGGGAATACTCCGCCACTGCTGGTGGGAGTGCCAACTCGTACAGCCACTTTGGAAATCAGTATGGAGATTCCTCAGGAAATTGGGAATCAATCTACCACAAGACCCAGTAATTCCACTCTTAGGCATATATCCAAAGGAGGCAAATTCATACAACAAGGGCATCTGCTCCACTATGTTCATAGCAGCATTATTTGTAATAGCCAGAACCTGGAAGCAACCTAGATGCCCCTCAACTGAAGAGTGGGTGGAGAAAATGTGGTAAATTTACACAATGGAGTATTACTCAGCAGAATAAAACAATGGAATCTTGAAATTTGCAGGTAAATGGATGGCACTGGAGGAAGCCATCCTGAGTGAGGTAACCCAGTCGCAAAAAGACAAACATGGTATGTACTCACTCATATATGGTTTCTAGTCATGGATCAGAATAGTGCCAGTCTGCACTTCCACTGATAGAGAGTCTGGGAAACAGGAAAGAACCTTAAAGATATGTATATATGCATAGTACCCAAGAGAAGAGGATTGAGACAAGATCCTTTGAATGGATGGGGAACACGGTGAGGGGTGGGGGGGGAGTGGGAGCTGGGAAGAAGAGAGGGGGAGAAGAGAAAGAGAGAGTAAGTCATGGAGGTACAGGAAGTTGAGTGTGTGGGGGTAGAATAGGGGGAAGAGGGAATCATAGGTTAGAAGACAGATCAGGCACCAGAGTGACCTCTAGTGATCTAAAGGAATGACACCAGCTGGTATACTAAGCAATAGTGGGGAGACCACCTTAAATGCCCATTCCTGATAATGAACATGATGTCTATAACCATCCTAGAGCCTTCATCCAGTAACTGATGTGTAAAGAGAAGCCTTCCCGCCAGCCTATTCCAGAGCCACATCAGTCCCCAATGAACACACAGGAGGCTATATTAATTATGAAGCTGTTGGCCTTGCTTGTTTCTTACTGGCTAGCTCTGACGTAAGTATTTAACCCGTCCAAGTATTTCTCTTACCGGAGAAAGGGGTCCGGACTTCTGACCTCTATGGTAGCTACATCTTGACATCCTGTGTTTCTCCTTCTCAGAGTCCTCCTGGACTCCTAGTCCCACCTATCTTGGTTCCCTAGTGGCCAACAGTGCTTTATTGACATATACACAGGACTTCCCCAACACTGATGGAAGCAGAGGCAAACACCCACAGCTAAACACTGAACTGAACCCAAGGAACCCCGTGACAGAGAGAGAGGAGCAATGAGCAAATTGGCAAATAACGTCCTGGCAAAACCAGCAGAGACAGCTGATCTGAACAAAGGGGAGCTCTTGGACCCCAGACCGACAGCTGGGAGGCCAGCATGGGACTGATCCAGACCCCCTGAATGTGAGAGTCAGTGAGGAGACCTGGGCAACCTACGGGGCCCTGGGCAGTGGATCAATGTTTATCCCTGGTATACAAACGAACATCATGTGTCCATAACACAAAGAGGGATGCTCTCTCAGCCTGGACTCTTAGGGGAGTGTCTCTACCCTACCCTGAGTGAAATGACAGACTATAGATATCACCTCTGTGGAAGGAAATGGTAATAGGGTGGGAGGCTGGGGAGGGATGGTGCAGGTTGCAGGAGGAGGGGAGGGAGCGAGCTATTTAAAATTAAATTAATAAAAAATAAAAAAATAATAAGTGACTATGTTATAATGACATTTTCACACACTGTTTTTTTAAGCAGCCAATAAAGTCTTTTATTTTGAAATGCTCAGAAAATCTCTTAAATTGAGCTTTGCCTGGTCGTGGATTTCTCAATCCATAATGGTTATACAGGCAATAATGGTCCCCCAGAAAGTATATTTCAATATTTTACATGTTCATATATTTCAACTGAGTAAAGTTACTGTCTTTTTTCTAATTTTAGTAATACTTTGAGAATTTCATGTAATGCATTTTGATCATGTTCACCTCCTCCATACCTTCTTCCAGATCCATCCCATCTTCTTACCCACCCTGTCTCTTTCAATTTGGATGTGGAAGGATCTGAAAATTCCAGATTTATAAAACCCTTAGTGTCAATGCTTGGTGAACTGTTTGATATGGAGAGCAGATTTCTCTAAATGACTACCATGTATATCTACACCCACCCAACTGAACCTTGTATGTAAACAGCATATCAGAAGAGGTTAGAAAAGACATGAGCATGATAAAGTGTAATCTATTTGCATATAATTAGGTTTGTGTCCTTTTACACCTATTCATTTGGAGGGGGCATTTCATGCCTCAGTGGTCCTGTGGAGGAAGTTCAGAGGGCAGCACCCTGGAGTCCGTGCTCTCCTTTCCCAATGTGGGCTCAGGGATTGAACTCAGGTCATCAGTTTTGATAGCAAGTGCTCTCACCCACGGATCCATCTTGCCAGCCCTGCGAAACCCTCCTTCCAGTCAATACAGTTATAATTGTGTAAAGGCAGAGGATGAGTGAGCATCCTCTTGAGAATGTCTCAAGATGGCTGCCAGGGTAAGGAGTGCATTTCGGGGTAGATGAAATTCAACAAGTAGGTAACTGGGTGCAGCTTGTGCAGCTGCGGGAAAGTGGTTGGAGAAAAGCTCTGCAGCATACTGGAGGCACCTGTAAGAGCAAGCCTTGAGGACAGTTAAATTGGCAGGGGTTGGGTGAGATTTACTAATTGCTTACCAATCATTGCTACATTGGAGAGGATCCTGAGCCAGACCCAGCCAATGGGAAGGGAGAATAACATTGGCCTGGGCTCACAGAGCCCATAAGGGATTGGGGAAGAACCAGAAGAGGTTTGTTTTATCTGCTTGGGAAGATGTGTCTTGCTAGAAGGAGCCTAGAAGTCTGATACATTTCAGGGGTGAGTGTTCTATATCATCATCTCAATTTTTTAGGTGTACTGACAGAGAGTTTACCCAACTTAGTTGACCCCTACTGAAAATGCAAAACACAGGCCAGAGAGTCAGCTCTGAACTCAACAGTTCTCATGGATGAAGTCCTTAATGATCTCCCCAAATAACGGAGTTTTTGATATAATGTCCCAAATTCCAGATATGAATGCCTAGGCACCAAGAGACTGGCCTAGCTGGCAATTCGCTAAAGACCCAGAAGAGGTCATCTTCTCTCATGCTCACAGGTCCCTGTCAACCACTGATACATGTGTTAAGAACATTCAAATCCCATAGACAGGAAGGGCATTAGGCAAAGAGCATGAAGCAGAGGCTTGAGGAAGGCTGACTTTCACACTATGTCCCTGCACACAGTATTCCTCCGTCATTAAGGAGAGCATTAGTTCCCCCCTGAGGCTTAGGCTTTGTGCATTAGCCAGGCTTCAGCTGCTGCTTCTATTACTCAACTCCTGAAGGTCAAGACAGTTTAGATGTTAAGTGAGCTAAATCAGACTCAGAAACACAAAAGCCACATTTTCTAACACAATAAGAGTACATATTTCCTCTCACATGTGGACCTAGATTTAAAGATATAGATGAAGTCAGGTGTGGTGGTGTGTCCCTATAATCAGCATTCTGGAGACTGAGGCAGGAGGATTGTTATGAATTCCAGAGCTTCATGGAATAAGCCTCAAGAAAACCACTATGTATATGGCATCAAAGCAGGAAGCTTACTGGAGGGAAGGATGTGAATAGTTGGAAAACCAATGCAGGACAAGAGCAGGAGATTGAATAGGGGCTAAGAACAATGATGTACATACATGCAGAGGTCATGATGAAACCTATGTCGTGTTTAAATGAAGATTAGTAATAAATAGAAAAACCTACTTCACATGTGAAAGCAAAAGGGAGATTATTTGGGAAGAATACAGATGAGAGATGGCACTGAAGGGGCAGAAAAGATCAGTGTATATGAGAAATGCACGGGAAAAGTCCTAATGAAATTTAGGATTTCATACAATGAGTATATAGATTTATGTTGCAAAATTAAAGAAAATATAAGCATTTGCTGAAAACTTAATGGCATTCTTAGTACAATTATGAATTAAATAAAGGATTACGACCTGCAGAGATAACTCAGGAGCTAAGAATGTTTGCAGCCCTTGCAGAGGACATAGGTTCAGTTCCCAGCACCTACATGGTGGTTCAGAACTGCCTGTATGTGCAGTTCCAGGGGTTCTCCTCTGGCTTCCTTAGGGGTTTCCCATGCTTAACACACATACGTGCAGGCAGAAACATAAAATAAATATTTTTTCAATTATAGAGTACTGCTGGGTAGTGTGGCACATGCCTTTAATCCCAGCACTCAGAAGGCAGAGGCAGGCGGACTTTTGTGAGTTGAAAACCAGCCTGGTCTTTGTACAATAGCTAGGTCTAGGACAGCCTCCAAAGCTGCAGAGAAACCCTGTCTGGAAAAAAACCCAAACAACAACAACAACAAAAAAAAAACAGAGGATCAAGATTTGGGGTATAGCTCAATAGAGTGTTTGGTTAGTGTGCGAAAGGCCTTAATTTCCATGTGTAACATGAGAAAGTGAAACTTAATAGGAATGAAGACCCACTGGGCAGTGGAGGCACATACCTATAGTCCCAGCACTATGAAGGCAGAGGCATGAGGATCTCTGTGAGTCTATGGCCATCCTGTTCTGCAGGGCTAGTTCCAGAACGCCAAGACTAGCAAACAATCCCTGTCCCCCCAAAAAAAGAGAAAGAAAGAGGTAACCTTGTGCAATGCTAAAGTTATCATGACTTTAGGGTGGTCAAGTTCCTAACGCTGATCGTGCTGTGTCTCCACAGATCTTGTTTCTTCTCTCCTGCTCCGTTGTATTTATCACTGACAGGTGTTTTTCACCTTGCGTGAGGATGCGTGAAGGGAGTCAAAGGTCTAGCAGTCTTCCTTCAATCCCAGCTTGGACACATCCTCACTCCGTTGCCTCCGCATATGATAATGGGATCATGCTGTACATGAGACATTTAAGCAAGATGGAGCTAAAAGTCTTCAAGAAGCTGTTGAATGAGCACTTCCTGCCCGACTCTCTCGGCTTCACCTGGGAGCAGCTGGACAGAGCTAGCTGGGCAGAGATGGTTCATCTCTTAATAGAATTTCTTCCTGGAGCACAAGCTTGGGATGTGGCTCAGGAAATCTTGAACAGAATGAACCAGAGAGGACTGTGTTCCCTGGCACATACAGAGCGAATGAGTAAGTATTAGCAATATAGTACACAAGACTACTGTGGGGGCTGAAGAACTAAGTAGTGGCTGGGTAGTGGTGGCGCACGCCTTTAATCCCAGCACACAGGAGGCAGAGTCAGGCGGATCTCTGTGAGTTCGAGGCCAGCCTGGTGTATAGAGTGAATTCCAGGATAGCCAGAGCTAAAGAGTGAAAACCTGCCCTTAAAAAAACTAAATAGTGGCTACCCTGTGACTTACTGTTCTCCTTCAAAAGAAATCAAAGAGTGAAGTAAGATAATGGCTCAAACCTCCAAAGGCAAAATCTATGCTACTGCATTTGTAAATTTGTAAAACTTGTATCTTTCATTGGTGTGTGAGTGTGCACATGTGGGTGCCCACACAGGCCAGAAGTGGGAATCCAATTCTGGAGTTACAGGCAGTTGTGAGGAGCCAATGTGGGTGCTGGGAACTTAACCAGGGGCTTCTGCAAGAGTAGTAAAGGCTCTTAACCACGGAGCTTTCTCTCCATACCCTATATTTCATCTTTTAAAATATTATTTATTTAAAAATTTTTAATTTATTTTTTGCATTCCAATACCAGTACCCCCTCCCTCCTCTCCTCCTTCTCCTCTACTCCCTTCCACGTTCTATCAGAGAGTGTAAGGCCTCCCCTAGGAACTCCACTATGTCTGTCCCATCATCTGTTTGAGGCAGGACCCAGACACCCCCCACCCGTGATTAGGCTGAACAAGGTGTCGATCCATACAGAACAGGCTCCACTAAGTCAGTGTGTGCATTAGAGTTAGATCTTGGACCCACTGCCAGTGGCCTCATTTTTTGTCCCAGTTACAACACTCTCACCTATATTAAGGGAGTTGAGTTTGGTCTTATGCAGGTTCCCCATTTGTCAGACCTGAGTCAGTGATCTCTCACTAGCTCGAGCCAGCTGATTCTATGGGTTTCCCCATCATGGTCTTGACTCCTTTGTTCATATTATCACTACTCCCTCAATTTGATTGTACTCCTGGAGATCGAACTAATGATTAGTTGCAGATATATGCATCTGTTTCTGGAAGAGTGTTTTGGAAGGGGTTGTGGAATGTAGGCTGGGTATCTTTTGTTTTATGTCTAGTGTTCCTTAAGAGTGAGTACATACTATATTTGTCTTTCTGGGTCTGGGTTACCTCATTCAGGATGGTTCTTTTTCTAGTTCTGTCCATTTGCCTGCAAATTTTAATATGTCATTGTTTCTTAACACCAAATAGTACTATATTATATAAATGTACCATATTTTCTTTATTCATTCTTCAGTTGAGGGTCATGTAGGTTGTTTCTAAGATCTGACTATTATGAATAATGTAGCTATGAACATAGGTGATTAAATGTCTCTGTGAGGGGAGTGTCACTCCTTTGGGTATATACCAAAAAGTGGTACTACAGGGTCATGAGGTAAGTTGATTCCTAATTTTCTTTGATTTGCACAGTAACTATAATGTTTGCACTCCCACTAGCAATGGCGGAGTGTTCCCACTTTCTCCACATCCTCTCCAGCACAAGCTGTCATTGGTGTTTTTGATGTTAGACATTCTGATCTGTGTAAGATGATATCTCAGAGTTATTTTTATTTGCATTTCCCTGATAAGTAATGATGTTGAGCATTTCCTTAAATGTCTTTCTGCCATTTGAGATTATTCTGTTGAGAATTCTCTGTTTGCATCTGTACCTGATTTTTTAATTGGATTATTTGGTAGTTTGTTGTCTACTTTCTTGAGTTCGTTGTATATTTTGGAGACCAAACCTCTGTCAGATGTAGGGTTGGTAAACATTTTTTCCCATCCTATAGAGAGTTTTGTCTTATAGACCATGTTCTTTGGTTTACAGAAGATTCTCAGTTTCAGGGCATCCTATGTATTAATTGCCATTCTCAGTATCTGTGCTACTGGTGTCCTATTTAGGAAGTGTTCTCCTGTGCCTATGCGTCCTAGAGTACTTCTAACTTTCTCTTCTATGAGGTTCAGTGTGGATGGATTCATATTAAAGTCTTTGATCCATTTAGACTTGAGTTTGTGCATGGGGATAGATATGGATATATTTGCATTCTTCTACATGTCAACAGCCAGTTACACCAGCACCATTTGTTGAATATGCTGTTTTCTCCATTTTTTAGCTTATTTGTCAAAAATTAGGTGTTCTTAAGTGTGTGGGTTGATATCAGGGTCTTAGATTCAATTCCACAGGTCTGCCTGTCTGCTTTTATACTAATATCAAATTATTTTCATTACTATAGCTCTATAGTAGAACTTGAAGTCAAGAATGGTAATGACCCAATATCATCATTTATTGTACAGGATAGTTTGGGTATCCTTATTTTTTTGTTTTTGCATATGAATTTAAGTATTGTTCCTTCCAGGACTGTGAAGAATTGTGCTGGGATTCTGATGGTGATTACTCTGAATCTGTAGATTACTTTTGGTAGGATTGCCAATTTTGCTATGTTTTTCCTACCTATCCAAGAGCATGGAAAATGTTTCCATTTTCTCAATCTGTTTTCATTTCTTTCTATGAAGATTTAAAGTTCTTATTATACAGAGTTTTCCCTTGTTTGGTTAATGTTACCCCAAGTTGTTTATGTTGGTTGTGGCTATTGTAAAGGGTGATTTTTCTCCGATTTCTTTCTCAGTCCTATTATCATCTGTGCATAGGAGGCCTACTTATTTTTTATTTAGTCTTGTATCCTGCCACAGTACAGAAGGTGTTTATCAGTTGTAAGAGTGCCCTTGTAGAATTTGTGGCGTCTATCATTTCAACTACCTCATCATCACCAAATAGTGACAGTTTGACTTCTTTTCCAATTTTTATGCGGTGATCTCCATCTGATGTCTTATTGCCCTTGCTGTAACTTCAAGTACAATGTTGAACAGATATGGAGTGGACAGCATTGTTTTATTTCTGATTTCAGTGGGATTGCTTTGCGTTTCTCTCCATTTATTTTGAGGTTGGCTATTGGGCTACTGTATATTGCCTTTATAATATTTAGGTATGTTCCTTGTATCCCTATTCTCTCCAAGACCTTTATCATGAAGGGGTGTTGAGTTTTTTCAAAGAATTTTTAGCATCTAAAGAGTTGACTGTGTGTTTTTTTTCTTTCAGTTTTTTATATGGTGGATTACATTCACAGATCTTCATGTTGAACCATCCCTACGTTTCTGAGATGAATCCTACTTGCTCACGGTGGATGATTTTTCTGATGTGTTCTTTGATTCAGTTTGCTAGTATTTTTGAATATGTATTCATGAGGGAAATTCATCTGTAATTCTCTTTAGTTGTAGTCTTTGTGTGGTTTAGAATCAGGATAACTGTAGCCTCCTAAAAAGGGTTTGACAAATGTTCCTTCCATTACTATTTGTGGAATAATTTGATGCATATTGGTATTAGTTCCTCTTTGAACACATGTTAGAATTCTGCACTGAAACTATCTGGGCCTGGGTAGAATATTGATTACTGTTTCTATTTCCTTATTGGTTGTAGGTGTTTTTAAGTTGTTTATCTGTTTTTGATTTAATTTGGGTATGTGACACTTAGCTGGAAAATTTTCCATCTCATTAAATTTTTCCAATTTTGTGGAGTATATGTTTTTGGAATATGACCTGATGATTCTCTGGATTTCTTCTGTGTCTGTTGTTATGTCATATCTGGTCATATCTGGTTTTGTTAATTTGGATTTCTCTCTCTCTCTGACTTTTTGTTAGTTTGGATAAAGTTTTGTCTATTTTGTTGAATTTCTCAAAGAGCCAACTCTTTGTCTCATGGATTCTTTGCCTTGTTTTCTTTGTTTCTATTTTGTTTACTTAAGCCCTCAATTTGACTGTTTCTTGCCATCTACTCCTTCTGGTTTGAATTTGCTTCTTTTTGTTCTAGCACTTTCAGCTGTTCTGTCAATTTACTAATGTGGGATATTTCCAGCGACTTTATGTAGGCATTTATTGCTATGAACTTTCATCTTAGCGCTGCTTTCATTGCGTTCCATAAGTTTGGGTATGCTGTCCTTTCATTTTCACTAAATTTTACGAAGCCTTTGTTTTTTTCTTTAGTTCTTCCTTGACCCAGTGGTGATGCAGTTGATCATTGTTCAATTTCTATGTGTTTGTGGACTTTCTGAAATTAATGTTGCTGTTGAATTCTAACTTGAGCCTTGGTGACCTGATAGTATACTAGAGGTTTTTTGTAAAATTTTTGTATCTTGTTGAGGCTTGCTTTATAATTAGTATGTGTTCCATTTTTGAGATGGTTCCATAAGCTGCTGAAAGAAGGTATATTCTTTCATGTTTGGGTGGAGTGTCCTATAGATAACTTTTGAGTCGTAACATCTGTTAGCTCCCTTTTCATTGTCTTTCTGGCAGAACTGTCTAGTGTTGAGTGTGGGGTATTGAAGTCTCCCACTATTAGTGAGTGGGGCTTGATTTGTAATTCAAGCTTTAGTAATGCTTCTTTTACAAATGCGGGAGGCCTTGTGATTGCAACATGGATGTTCAGAATTGAGATTTCCTCTTGATGGGTTTTTCCTATAATAAATATGAAATGTTCTTCTTTATCTTTTTTGATTGATTTTAGTTTCAAGCCTATTTTGTTAGGTATTAGGATAGTTATACCAGCTTGTTTCTTAGGTCCATTTGATTGAAAAAATTTTTCCCAACCCTTTACTCTGAGGTAATTTCTGTGTGTAAGTTTGGGGTATGTTTCTTGTATGCTGCAGAAGGATACATTCTGTTTTTGTATCCAATCTATTAGCCTGTGTCTTTTTAGAGATGATTTGAGACCATTTATACTAATGGATATTAAAGACTATATATTGCTGGTTCCTGTTATTTTTGTTTTTGTTGTTGGTGATGGCTTTATGTGTTCATTTACCTTCCTTGGGATTTGCTGCTATAAGCTCATCTATTGCCTGTGTTTTGTGACTGCCACTGACTTCCTTGGGTTGGCGTTTTCATTCTAGTATTTTCTGTAAGTCTGGATTTGTGAATACAT